GGAATAAATCGTTTATAGTATAAATTGTGCACTTTTGTGTTTGTAAATATATTGTCCTTATAGGTTTACTCGTTTCTAATTTTAACAACGTTTTCACAAAAAAAAATTAGACTCTGATAACCGTTGCACCCATAAAATCGATGGGGTGGTTACTGAAATGGTTACGAAATGTCAACTAATTGCGTTTTTACTCGGTTTTGGTCCGGAAATCGCACCGCACTTGGAACAGAGCACAAGTGAACAGATACAATTCATGACAGTCATTCGTAATTGTTGTTCTTTCTACTCACTTTGAAAAGTGGGGTTTTAACTCTTATATATTTTAACTCTTATGTTAAAAACCAAAGAGGAAAATTACCAGACTCATTTGATGATTCTTTCCATACCTTTGAATCGCATCCTAGCCACAATACAAGGAATAAACATAAATTTGTCATTGATTTCGAAAGAACAAACGTCGGACAAAACTGTTTTTTTTTTTACAGGAGGTCAAAGGTGTGGAACCGATTATCGGATGAGTTGAAAAATTGTAAAAATATTTGTTTCTTTAAATATAAATTAAATGACAGGTATATGAGGGTTTACGAAAATGAGATGGTTCGATGTAATATAAGCAACTGTATATTTTCTAATAATCTTTTATCAACTACTTAAATAAATAATACATTAACTTTATTCATAATTGATGCCTAATCATATTGGTGAAAAATAACTTACAGTAGTTCTTTAAATGTCATTTTCTAAGTTTTTATTATTTTATATAGGGCTCTGCAACTAAAAGCTTGCTTGTTCGCAGAGTTGCTTTTTACGAATGGATCATCTCCTTGTACTTATATTCTCTTTATTATTATGAATTATCATCACGTACTGTACAAATTGTTATATTATATGACAAAGGTGCAATATTACTTAAATTGAATTGAAAAATTGAACAATAGAAGATTGGTGAAAAGTTGGTGGGGGGGGGGGAACAATTGAAATGATGGCCCTCTACTTTGAAAATTGGGGGGACGTGTCTCCCTTTCCGAAACCGATCGACGCCCATGAAGGTGTTATATACTGTTTTGGATATTATGCTGTTAACATTTTGTACTTGTATTCGAATTTAAATAAAATTGAACGAATGAACGATAGCGCAGAATATTACATTTGTTATGGAGAGGTCGTCGAACTGATGACGTAGGCACGTACGGCAAATAAGGTTAGGCAACATAACATGCGTCGAAGACTCATGTACACTAGTGCAAATGCACACTAGTGCATTTTCAATGTTCGAAAATAATATGCTACTTTAATGGTTTTTAACATTTATATTGTTTGACTACATTCCATGACATCATTTATTAGGTAATTCATTCGATCCTATTGTTTTATCTGGTATAATTACTTAGTACCATACCAAAGGTCCAGTGATTGATCTTAATAGATAAGAAAGTATAATACATATTCCAAGTACCGTATTGAAATGCACGCCATCGTGTTGGTACGGTATTCAATATCACGACATTAATTATGTCATCATCAGGAATACACATGGTATCGTACAGTGAATATATTCTTAACATTTATACCAAGTATTTACTCCAAACAATTTTATTACAAGGAAAAACGAAGATATTTCAGTTTGCTATGTTTGATTGGTTACGGTATGTATTTTGACAGAGGAAAACAATCGCTTTATATACAGTATTGCAATTTACTCCAACAAGACAATGATCCTATGTTATTATGGAGGTATATATAAGCATATCACCAGAGGACTTTTTGTTTTTATATTTTTAATTACTTTTTTCTGTTAGGTTTAATTATATCATTACATAATTTCCTTGATATTTACAAAATTTACCTTAATATTTCTGGGCTTTTCTCATTGCAATTTATATATACGTAATTTCTGCCGGTGCAAGTCATTTTCTCCTATTCTACAATAGATATTTTTTAAAACAGTTTTTTATGTACTTCTGTTACTGTTCCATGTGAAAGTTCTTTTTAGGTTTCTTCATAAGTTTCATCTATAAAGATTAAATACTAGTAACATATCAAGTGTTCTTACGGTGTTTCCCCCCTTTTAATGATTACAAGTTTGGTAATTCGTTGAAATTCATTTTTGACAAAATATGAAAATAGATTTAGGAAATGTTACAAAATTGTAATGTTACAAATTAAAAAAAATATATTTATTTGTCCGATAAAACATTAGTTTGAAGATACAATTAATAATTAATATATCTATATGTCCTTATGATCTCCTATCAAATAGAAATACTAAAATTGTCTTGCAGTATTATAAGAAATATTATAAAGATAGAACTTAACCAACCTATCCGACTCTATCAGATCCTTGAGACACTAAAATATTATGTAAAAAAAAAAAAAAAATTCTAAGAGCAGTCACCCTAGTTTCTTCCTTCACACAGGCTGTGCCTGAATACCAGACAATACCCGACTGGCGGTTTCTTAAGGTAATTTTTGAATTTCTAGGATCCAGACCTAGTCTTTTGACCATTTCATATGCTCCATTGGCTAGAATTTGCATAATCCTGCTAAAAAACAGACACACAGAAAGTGGTGAATAATCTCATTGGTCAACAACTCCCTGGTGCGGGTAATAAAACGGAAAATAACAGTTTTGCATTATTGTTTATATTATCAAAATAACAACATAACCACATCAACAATAAATCTGTAGATACTCTAGATTGAATGATTTGCATAAACGAGACGCGTTGTTAGACTCATTAGTAGCTTATCACTTCACCATTTATACGGTTTGTGAAGTGCCTTGTGTCCAGTGAGCTTGCACGTCACACACCGTAGGGTATACAGTATGAAAAAAAAAAACGTGTACATGCATGTATAGTCATAGTTTTCTACAACAACAACAAAATAAATTAATAAATAAAATAAATAAATAAAATAAATAAACACAATCAAGATAATGGAAAATCAAAAACAAATCAAATGTAAAGCGAACATAATTTGTTATACATTAAACGCCAAGTTTTCCCTTTAAATGTCTTCAATCTAAAAACAAAATAATTGTGAATTACAGTGTAGTAACTACGCCCTTCCCCATCAACAAGATGTATGTATATTTACTATTTACCGATATAAAATGAAAATTTATTGCTCACAAATGCTAATATTCGATTATTGTAAGACCTACCTTGATAGTTTAACACTGGAGAGATTTATACCATCATGCTTTTCTCAATATACCTCTGAAAATGTGCTAAAGATGACAACACGATACAGTTCAGGCGTGCAGTGCGAGATCAGCGAGCTTCCTATCCTGGTGCAGTTACCGTAAATAAACACAAAATGGTGTCAAGAAAATTGTACCAAAGTTAAGTAGGTTAACTATTTTTTTGTAGTTCTCTTGATGTCTAGTTTATCTGTTAATGTTGTATCTTTAATTGTGTTGGAGTAATCCAATAGCTGAACTTCTGGGTTAGAATCCAATTCAATGATTATTTTGTATTTGTCATTGATTGGATTTTAATTATTGAATCTTTAGCAGACATGTTGATATTTGGAAATAGTGTATTTAAATGTATATATTGTAGTTATACTGTTTGAAAAAAATCTAGAATCATCCAAGTAAAACTTTGAACTCTTTATTTAAAAAAAAATAAAAATTTAAATGAATGAAAGACTAGTAAATATGACCTGTGATTTGGCGTTGCTTTATTAAAGGCTTTAGTAAATTACCTCAAAATTATATTTATGGATTGAATTAGACCTACCTATTTTGAAATACCACATGAGTTTCCATTGTTATAGGTCTATAAAATTATTACTATATTATTACTGTATAACTATAAAGTTCTGTCGATTTTACAAAATTAGTGTGATAATAGTCTATTGTTTTCATATTGCAACAACTCTAGTTAAACGTGTATCGTTTTGTCCCTGCACGCACATTATCATAATATTATTACGGATGTAGTAACACTTCTTTAAAAGTGTAATATATTAGTAAAATTACGGTAATGTATTACAGTAATTATTATTAGGCTTAAATATTATCATAATTATTACTAATAATTTATAATCAATTTGTGTAATTTGTATATAACAATTCTATGTATATATTATATTATATATATAGGCCTATATTATTATATAATTAATACATTTTAGCATTTCTAAAGTTAACATTTCACGTTTTTGAGTTTTCATTACTGTTATGCAGTATTATATATATATATAATATATATAAAAATAAATAAATATATATATATATACGATTTAATTTATAATCAATTTGTGTAATTTGTATATAACAATTCTATATATATATTCTATTATATATATATTATTATATAATTAATACATTTTAGTATTTCTAAAGTTAATATTTCACGTTTTTGAGTTTTCATTACTGTTATGCAGTATTATATATATATATATAATATATATATAAAAATAAATAAATAAATATATATATATACGATACTCATTATTATTAAAACCATTACTTTTTGAGATGCTGTATGTAATGAACATTATTGACAAGCAGCTTGCAGTTCAACGAAGTAATTATTATTTCAATTAAAATTTCTCTAATTAATACAAGTACCAATATAAAGACAAAAATAAAAATCTGAAAAAAAACTCAATTACTAAGTTTTCCAAGTCTAAGAATCAATTTATTCTAACAAAGCTGTATTCAACAGGTTCATTCATTTGGATTTTTCCATCAAATTGCCAAAACCCTCCGCAGAGTTAGTTCACACGGGAAAAATCCAATTTCCAGCTAATAACATGTTCATCAATTAAGGCTTCCCTATTGTATCGATATTACGTACGAACAATACATACAGAGACAGAGTGAAATAAGAAATAATATTCAGAGCTCGCAAGGAGGTGTGTCTTTAAGATGAGCGCTACGTTCACTTGACGGAGCTTCGTGATTGGTCAGTCATGAGTGTAATAACCGTGACTGACGTAGCGAGTTCAAAGGAAGACCTCAAAGTCTTTGCTTTATAAAGAATTCGAGTTGGAAGCATTTACGCATTCTTCTTAATTTTTAGTAAATCATTGAAGATAGGTATGGACGACATGGACGATCTGCACCTATCCCCACATGAGGGTATATTATCCGTGATGAGTGAAACCAGTGATAAGATACTCGGTTCGGCCTCTCTCCATAACACAGGTAAGCCTAACAAATTTCCGTTTTTTTTACCTACACTTGGGCTAATTATATCCGTATTCCTGTCATTTAGTATAATTTACAAGCAATCTTTATCTCTCAGTGGAATATGCCTTAACAAATTAAATTCGATAAATCGAGTTAGGGTAATTATTGCAAGTTAAGTTCACTAGAAAACTGATTAAATCCGCTGTCAAAACTGGAAGGCTAACTGATTAAGATATTATGCATCTAGACATTCCCACATAATTTTCATACTGAAAATATATTTGTGTTCTATGGAGTGAATACACATTTTACAACTAGAGAAGATGACAGTGTGGAATAACATTTTTTGGTAAATTAAGGAGTAGGAATCGTATGAAATATAACAGGGTGGCTTTTGTCTGTCAACTATCGTCTTTAAAAGTAAGTTTATAAGCCTATTCAAATTTAAATCCCATAATTTTTTGAAGACTTTAAAGTTTTTTTTTATTTGTTTTGTGTTTTGTTTGTTTTGTTTTGTTTTGTTTTTTGTTTTTTTACAGCGGATACCATAACTATTGTTAGTTTCATATTATTATTGTGTAGACAAATCTTGGATTTTTTTTCTCTAAACTTTTTGTTATGTCTTTATCAATCATGTCCTTGTGTCTTCTTGAAATTTTATTCGGAATTAAGTGTAACGAGCGTTTATGAATAGTTTAAAAGAATTTTTAAATCATTATTTAATTATATTACTATTTATCATAGGAATAATTTGTCAGGTAACTCAATTTTCATTTTAAAGTCGCATAAATACTTTTCGAAATGTAGTGGCGGAATTATGTAAAATTAAATAACCGATTCATGTTTCAACTATAGTAACTCGACATAGAATAATAAGGTTGATAATACATAAACGTTAATGCATTATGCTATGATAAATATTTATTCAAATTTAAATCCCATAATTTTTTGAAAACTTTAAAGTTGTTTTTTTTAAATTTGTTTTGTGTTTTGTTTGTTTTGTTTTGTTTTGTTTTTTTTTACAGCGGATACCATAACTATTGTTACTTTCATATTATTATTGTGTAGACAACTCTTGGATTTTTTTTTCGAAACTTTTTGTTATGTCTTTATCAATCATGTCATTGTGTCTTCTTGAAATTTTATTCGGAATTAAGTGTAACGAGCGTTTATGAATAGTTTAAAAGAATTTTTAAATCATTATTTAATTATATTACTATTTATCATAGGAATAATTTGTCAGGTAACTCAATTTTCATTTTAAAGTCGCATAAATACTTTTCGAAATGTAGTGACGGAATTATGTAAAATTAAATAACCGATTCATGTTTCAACTATAGTAACTCGACATAGAATAATAAGGTTGATAATACATAAACGTTAATGCATTATGCTATGATAAATATTTATTCAAATTTAAATCCCATAATTTTTTGAAAACTTTAAAGTTGTTTTTTTAAAATTTGTTTTGTGTTTTGTTTGTTTTGTTTTGTTTTGTTTTTTTAGATATACCATTTAAATGTCTAGGTGAGAAACTCGATTTATAAGAATATAAGAATGTACACAAGATATAGATTATTTATATACCGGTACCGTAATAATAATATGTTTGGTTACACATTCCATACATTCATATTTTTTGCTTAGATTTTTTAAATTCAACTTGGGATATTTATATTCAGCCATACGCCTAATATTTATCACACCACTAATTTTTCATTTCATTATTGTTGAAAAAGGTGTCTATGCATTCTTTTACGTGCACTTTATGTTTTCTTTAAAAAAAAAACCAATAAAATACATTGTTTTGTTGATTTGTTTTTACTGTTTTACTGCAGATTTTTTGTTTCTTTGTTTTTTTTTGTTTAAACATGGAACGTAACACATATTTTCCCCAAAACATTGTCTTTATATGTTTTAGAACTTCAGGAACGTAACGTGCATATATGTTACTTTTTTTTATTAGACATCGTGATGAAACGTAATACAAATATACAATAATAAAAATCAAAACCAAATATGTATACAAGTAATTTGTTTGTAAGTGTTACTATGGAAACTATCGATATTTTCCCCCTCTCTGTAACTTTTGACAATTCAGCATAATGCATTAATCGTAGCCTGTTATAACACCTAATGATTTTCTTATAGTTAATGTCGTATTCTTTTTAACATTTAGCAAATAATCATAATTGCCTTTAATGACTGAAATTGAAATATCCTCTTGTACCGAAGAAGAATCATATGAGATTGATTTATAATATACCATTATTTACATCTTGATATCAAAATATCGGCATCTTTTAAGTTAATTTACTAGATTGTCTTATAATGACGATACTTTTGACTATAATTTATCTATGTATACAATGTGAAAGATCGAAGCAACGCTTAATGTACAGAATGGTGTATGTATGTACACATTTGCATGCAAGGCACGAACGGGGCCCGGAGAAAACTTAGGGAAAATGCAATTTGTATTATAGGAAGATAGCAAGAAATGAGAAGTCGGTGAATAGAATGCAGACAAGAGGTTCATTCTGAAGTGTATCCTACTGAATGCTATCAAGAAAATACTCACTATCAAACTGAACTCGCCTCCAAGCATTTCATTAACATCATAAATGAAACGACTTGTATTACATATCTATTAAACCTTTCGCCGACTTCACTTAGCAATGATACTCTTCCTACCGCTACTACCACCACTGCTACTCGCTAGGTGCTAGTACACTCCACGATTTCACTGCTCATAATAGAAAAATTACTAATAAAGCAATCGAATACACTGTAATGCTACTGTTTATTGTGCTACTCTACTATGCTGCTCGTTTTAGAACTAATACCACAACAATTATTACTATTAATGTTGTGGTTGAAATTGTCGCTCCTATTATTTTATTGTTAGCATTAATATTACTGTTTTTCATTTATTTAGGTGTATATATATA